AACAGAGGAGATATGATCACTACATACAAAATAGTAACAGGAATCAATAAAATTGATAGAGAAGAATTCCTGAAACCCAGAACTTCAAGAACAAGAGGTCATAGATTTAAACTAACAAAACAATGCTGCCAGAGAAATATAAGACAATTCTCTTTTTGAAACAGAGTGGTAGACAGTTGGAACAAGTTAGGTGAGAAGGTGGTGGAGGCCAAAACCATCAGTAGCTTCAAAGCGTTATATGACAAAGAGTGCAGGGGTAGATGGGACACCACGAGCATAGCTCTCGTCCTGTATCTACACTAAGGTAATTACACTTAATTTTGTAAACAAACAAACTGCAGCGCTGCCCTGGTGGCCAAATGGGGAAGAGACTCGCAGAAGGAAAATGGCCGCCAACAAAAAAGAGACGCGGCCGATGCAAGGGAGCCGAAATCACGCCTGCAAATGTGGGAAAAACAAAGCAGGCGGGATGAGGGACGAAAATCTCCCCTCCCCCGTGCCCAGAAGGCACAAAGCCCAAGCAGGGTCTGTTTGTGTGGGGGGCTGTGGGGGAAGCCTGCTAGCGGGCTCCTCCCACAGCCCCAGGAACCCGCAACAGAGGCCCCGGAGCAGAGCCGTCCTCCACACCCTCTGCCACTAAAGAAAAGGCAGAGTCCTAATGAAAGGCTGAGAAGACTGGGGGTCTGCTGGCAAGACCTAAAAGCCTCGGCAGGAGCAAGAGGCTCGAATACCTATGTCCTTGAACCCTGGGGCAGTCCCCGAAGCTGCTCGAATCTCTCAACCGTCGAAACTCCGCCCCAACTCCAAAACCCTCGGACAATGGACGCCCCCAAGTCTGGGTCCCTATAATTAACCCAAGTGGGGCAGCCTCGGGGCATCCGGTTGAACAACCAACCTAGCATACTGCAGCAACTGATATCTAGCATGCAATGCTATGCAATCCTCATATTGTGCTTCAGTGAACCAATGTATTACCCAGAAATGTTATCCTAATGTACGTAATAATCCTTGTTTCATTATTGTGTATTGTTATTATTGTGTATTATTCTAATCTGCTTTTGTGTCAAAATATCTTGCAATGTACCTGTGAACATTTTTTGTCAAATTTACTGTAATTATTCTACTTAAAATTATCTGTACCTGTAAAGTAAAGCTGTATTGTACCTGTAAACATTTTTTTTTGTCAATTTTACTGTTAAATTATCAAAAAATTATCTGTTAGTTTAACCACTTAACTGCGCCAGCTGAGTTTTCTCGGTCGGCGGGAAACTGCGCCAACAGAGAAAACTCGTTTTGATTTTTCGTAACCAATTTTAAATGTGTACGAGATTGGTTGTGTACGAAATGGACTCTTAGGACCTCCAGTGAGAGGCAGCCATCTTTGAAAAAAATCCCAGAATGCCCTAGGGCTGCTGGCTGGGTTAGTACTGAATGAGCAAACATGGGTGGCGCACGCGCCTCTGGCTCCCAAACACCTGTCCGACGCGGTGTTGAAAGATAATGCTCTGTCGGTGAAATTCAAACCTTATTGTTTGAAGAACATAAGGGTCATAATATTGGGGAAGACAGGCGCAATAAGGACCTAACACAAAGGTCGGATGCAAGTGATACAGCACCTATGAGAACGATACAGCGAGCGTATCCAGTAGCTCTGAGTGTCACCCTTGCAATCCTATGCTATTTATTTAGATGATACTTAGATGAATCGTTTTCTGCGTTCAGTGATGATGCATCTGATACAAATAGCATAGATGAACAGTGTTAGTGGCTTCCATGGTGGTGTTTTCCATAGATATTTTCAAGAATACCTGAATCTCTTCCCAACTGACGGACACTCTTGAGGTATGCTGAATCTCTTCCTGTGTGGGACCATACAAAGCGATCTTTTCAAGACTACCTTATAAATTGATCTTTTCCTATAATCTTTTCAATACTACCTTATGCTTTACAAGCTTGGTTACATAAAACCTACATGTTCTAAAGTCAAGGGTGTACGTGAGTGCGTTATTTGCAAGTACACAGAATGAAGAAACAGGAAGCAAAAATTTATCTGTACCTGGTGCACTGAGAGCGAAGTCGCGCTGTGTACCATGGGCTACTTCGTTGATTATTACTCACTTCCGAAGTACTGAGTGTGTAATACAGTGCGTTACTGTGTAAATAGTGTGTGAAACGGTACATATTGTAATTTTAGTGATTTTTTAACAGGTAATATTGCGACAATAAACATTTATTGTGGACACATTACTGACACATATATCACAGTTCCATGGAACATTATGAATGTTCTACTGTATACATATTGTAAAGGATACAGATATGCATCATATACGATAAAAAAACAAATAAAACTGCATTGGAAATACATAAAACAAATAATTGAAAATATATTTGTGGCAACACCCGGTGCTTTTAATGGCCCGCGCGACCGTGTCTGGGCGAGTCACGCACAGGCGACCAGGCCCTGATGATGTCACAGCGCATCTTGTCCATGTCCCTACAGCCAAAGTAAGTGGAATTTGGTACTTATTTTTACATAGACATGTTCAGGGAAGGGAATTTATCATTTTACGAAGAAAAAAGAATTTTTTGGGAGCACTTCATTTCATGCGCACCAGGGGAATTTCTCAATAAACTCCACGCAGCATGGTGGTTAAGGACTTGCCTGAAAAGCTATGCGTGCTAGTGGCTTTACAAGAATGTAAATTCAACTTAATTTCTATGTTCTCTGTTAACCCCCATTGTACCTTCTTGTGTAAATAAATAAAATAAATAAAATAAAATAAAATAAAATAAAATAAAATAAATAAATGCTAAAAATGCCTGTACCTGAACATCAACATCAGAAAACTGAGTGAACTAGAGTACGAGCAAGGAACAGGACTCACAAGACTCTGGGTCAAAGGTGTCATTGACCCAGCAGGCAGCATGACAGAGGCAAAACTGGTGAGTGTCACCCTGAGACAAGGGGACAGAGCAACTGTCAAAATCGCACTTAACGAGTTGGAACCCAGAGGACGCATCCATAGGTCCAAAGAGCCACAATGGAGTTTTCTACAGCCCTTAGGCTGACTGCTAAGGTAAGCCCAGGCTAGGTATTGCTAACCGGTTAGGCCCAAACTACAAAGAAAACTGCAAAAACCTGAACCCCCTGCAACATGTACAAGCACGGGGACCTAGCAGAGGACCACCAATAAAACAGAAGTTGGATATACCAAAAGTGTAGACCCCCACCAGGCAAAATAAGCAAAAATAAAATTAAAACCTTGCGAAAGCACAACGTCCCCAGGAGGAACAGAACTGGCTGCTGTGTATTATGGGAGACTAGCTGCACAATACCTTGTGCCCCTAACAGCAATGATGCTACTTCCTACCCAAGGTCAGACAGTGGCTATGAAAACCCCAGCTGACCCCCAAGGGTGGGCAATCATCGAGCATCAAAAGATCCCTATGGAGGTAGTCCCCGAATGACTTACGGAAGATAACCCCAAACCGCAAGGATAGTACTTAGAGCACGTAAGGAAGATGGCTCTAGGTGCATGCAGCCCCAGTACTCCATGAATTATACCTGGCTCGCACACCACCACACAGCAGAACAACACCGCAAGGGCACAGCACTGTACAGAGACAGGAACCAGAGTCGAACGACCGCCACTCAACACATGAGCCTCAGAACTGGGGTTGGATGGCTGGCGAAGGGCTCTGGGGCTCAACCTTTCCCATCCCAGGGAGGGGGGGGGGAGTTTTGCAGACAGCGGGGGTGGCGGTGGTTGTGATGTCATGCTTATTTCCTTGTTTTCAGATTATAGAGTTCTGCTTGATAGTTCAACTTTCAGTAGCAATTTTTAACCAGATGGAGTTTGTTTTGGGACGCCTACCTTTCTGGGTGCCTAACCCGGTTGATGGCAGACATGGAATGATTCTAACCACATGGGGGTATCTATAGTCCACTGCTCCTTGTGCCTCTCTGAGTGGGGCCAGGTTCTGGCTAGTGGTCCCTGGTAGGCAAGAACTTAAATCGAATTGATTGATGCCATGGTCTAATACATTCATATTAGCCCAATATAGCTCCGGGGAGCCGGAGGGACTCTCCACAGAAAAAATTATAAACACAAGTTAGCAATGACATGTGTTAATCATTATACAGTACATGTGTTGAGAAAATATTTTTCAGTAAGACATGATTATGTTTGCTTACCTTGTGTGTTGTGACAATGTACTGTAGGCATTATTATCAGCACTCATAACAATTTGTGCATGTTTGAAATAATGCAGTGAAGGCCTACCAGTCCTTCCTTCCTTCCAATTCACATCAAGAATGATAATAAAGATATTCTATGTGCCAAGTAGTTATTTCTCTTCAGGTCTCTTACATACATAGTCAATGTCAGTATTTATGTCATAAAATGCATGACTGTGTAGTCGAAGGGAGCTGTAACTTACATCTTCAGATATTGTGTACGCCGTGTATGTACATTGTAGCAGAATATGTTAATGGAAGATTTTGTAATATTGTCCAGTTCTATAATATATTTTAATTCCATGGAATGCTTGAAGCACAATAAGAATAAGTGCAAGGTATGCACCTAATTACTGTATTCAGAACTTACATGAAGGAAGGTGATGAAGAAGTCTTTGCATTGCTTTATATGTAAAAGTTTTATTAATTTAAAAGCTTCATGAATTTTGTATACTGGAGCATATTAGACTTTTATTAATATGAAAAAATCTTCAACTGTAGTGCTGTATCATCCAGTTTTTTCATATTAATGTACAGTACAGTATTTGGCTTAAATATACTCCGTTGTTATTGGGTACTTTCAGTTTTAGTTTAGTGCAATTCCACATAACTTGTATTTGTCTTTACTTGAGCTTCATTATTTAACTAAATTTTGTAGCTATTTTCAAAATTACTTTACAGTTGATAGAATGAAATTTGTCTTTATATTGTTCACACCTAATGATCAGTTTGATGAGATGACACTAGTAGTTACCTGCAGGGACTCAAAACATCATTCGCCGTCAAAGCTTGGTCAAACTCCATTCCCTTACAATTGAGGCTCCAATCACGCGAGTTTTCAACATAATCACTGCTGCTCAGGAGAACTCGCCTGCTTATGTTGCACAAGCTCTGGAGAAGGTTCTGGAGATATTGCGATCTACAGAACTCTATTCACCACAGCTCATATCGGCTACCCCAGATAATGTCAGACCTGTGCCGGCCGACCCCGTAGCAACTGATCTCCTTGGGGGACTTCTCTCGGTAAGTGAAGTCAAGAATAATGTGCCTCAGTGAGTTAAAGAACTACATTTTGCTTATTGACCTAGTAGCTCAGTGCAGTCTTTCACAAAAACCAGCTTGCCTGGAATAAATCCACAAGGGCCATGACAAAGGTCATGGTCAAGGCCAGCTTTCCTTCCCCAAATCTTTGTAACATTGTTAAAATTATAAATTCTTGTATAAAAATATTTTGGTTCTCTTATTTATGAAGCAAAACATGAATTTTCAGAATGTTTTTGTAGTTTATTTTTTGTACTGTTCTCAAATCATGCATTCTTAACAATTAAAGTTTGTTGTATGTTTTGTAAATTAAACTAACCATCAGACTTTGCAATGTAGTTTTTTAAGTTGTGCTTGGCTATATTTTATTAAAGATTTTGGTGTGAATTCAAGAAGTGATTGGTGAGCATTCACTGCCAGTACATCTAATTACCCAAAGTCACTCAAAGTCGCCCAAAGCTTCCTGGCATTACGTTAGTTATGAATAAATATGATATATTTATTCATTATAATGTTGATGCTGAATGTAGAACATGGAAAACATTTTTTTACTTTGAAACAGTATCATTTCATATCAAAATTAGATGAAAATAAGCTGCTGGTGATGCCAAAGCAAGCCGACAGTCCAAGCGACAATGTTGTGGAGCGACTTATCCAAGATACATTGTTGCGTACAGGTTATATTAACTTAGGTTTGGATAGGTTAGGTTTAGTTAGGTTAGGTTTGGGTAGGTTGGTTAGGTTAGGTAGGTACAGTAGCCTGATATGCCAGCAAATACTCTTTAGGCAACTCTGTGTCTTGGATAAGTCGCTCCACAACATCATCACTTGGACGATGTTGCTTTGGCGTCACCAGCAGCTTATTTTCGTCTACTTAAGTTATGAAATGATACTTTATCAGAGTAAAAATATATTTTTCCATTTTCCACATTCAGCACCAACATTATAATGAGTAAATATATAATAATTATTCATTACTAATGTAATGCCAGGAAGCTTTGGGTGACTTTGAGTGGCTTTGGGTAATTAGATGGACCCTTCACTGCAGCTTTCTTAAGTTTTGTTGGGAGGCTCATGCTCACAAGTTTTGTTGGGAGGCTCATGTTCACAATTTTTGTTGGGATGCTCATTCTCATTAGTTTTGTTTGGAGGCTCATGCTCACAATTTTTGTTGGGATGCTCATGCTGACACTTTTGTTGGGACACTCATGCTGACAAGTTTTGTTGGGATGCTCATGCTCAGAAGTTTTGCTGGGAGGCTCATGCTCACAATTTTTGTTGAGAAGCTCATGCTGACAATCACACAAGATAAGTTTAAATTTGGATAGGATTGGTTAGGGTAGGTGGGGGTTAGGTTGGGGTTAGCTTAGATGGGGTTTTGTTAGGTGGGAGGATTTTGTTAGGTGGGGGGGTTTTGTTAGGTGGGGGGTTAGGTTAAGTGGGAGGTTAGGTTAGGTGCGAGGGTTTTGTTAGTGGGAGGGGGGGGGGTTTGTTAGGTGGGAGGTTAGATTAGGTGGGGGAAGTTAGGTTAGGTGGGAGGGTTTGGTTAGGTGGGAGAGTTTGGTTAGGTGGGAGGGTTTGGTTAGGTGGGGGATTGGTTTAAGTGAGGGTTTGGTTTGGCTAGGTTTGGTTTGGCTAGGTTTGGTTTGGCTAGGTGTGGTTTGGCTAGGTGTGGTTTGGCTAGGTGTGGTTTGGCTAGGTGTAGTTTGGCAAGGTGTGGTTTGGCTTGGTGAGGTTTGGCTAGGTGTAGTTTGGCTAGGTTTGGTTTGGCTAGGTGTGGTTTGGCTAGGTGTGGTTTGGCAAGGTGTGGTTTGGCTAGGTGTGCCTAGTGGGAGGTTAGATTAGGTGGGGAAGTTAGGTTAGGTGGGAGGGTTTGGTTAGGTGGGAGAGTTTGGTTAGGTGGGAGGGTTTGGTTAGATGGGGGATTGGTTTAAGTGAGGGTTTGGTTTGGCTAGGTTTGGTTTGGCTAGGTTTGGTTTGGCTAGGTTTGGTTTGGCTAGGTTTGGTTTGGCTAGGTGTGGTTTGGCTAGGTGTGGTTTGGCTAGGTGTGGTTTGGCAAGGTGTGGTTTGGCTTGGTGAGGTTTGGCTTGGTGAGGTTTGGCTAGGTGTAGTTTGGCTAGGTTTGGTTTGGCTAGGTTTGGTTTGGCTAGGTGTGGTTTGGCAATGTGTGGTTTGGCTAGGTGTGCCTAGGTTAGGTTTGGCTAGGTGTACCTAGGTTAGGTTTGGCTAGGTGTGGTTTGGCTAGGTGTGGTTTGGCAAGGTGTGGTTTGGCTAGGTTTGGTTTGGCTAGGTTTGGTTTGGCTAGGTTTGGTTTGGCTAGGTGTGGTTTGGCAAGGTGTGGTTTGGCAAGGTGTGCCTAGGTTAGGTTTGGCTAGGTGTACCTATCTTGAGGTTATCTTGAGATGGTTTCGGGGTTTTTTAGTGTCCCCGCGGCCCGGTCCTCGACCAGGCCTCCACCCCCAGGAAGCAGCCCGTGACAGCTGACTAACACCCAGGTACCTATTTTACTGCTAGGTAACAGGGGCATTCAGGGTGAGAGAAACTTTGCCCATTTGTTTCTGCCTCGTGCGGGAATCGAACCCGCGCCACAGAATTACGAGCCCTGCGCACTATCCATCAGGCTACGAGTCCCCTTATGGCCCATACCTAGGTTAGGTTTGGCTAGGTGTGGTTTGGCTAGGTGTGGTTTGGCAAGGTGTGGTTTGGCTAGGTTTGGTTTGGCTAGGTTTGGTTTGGCTAGGTTTGGTTTGGTTTGATTAGGTTATAGTAGTTTGGGTTTGGTTAAAGTTAGTTTGGTTAGATTTAGTTTGATTAGGTTTGTTTTGTTAGCTTTGTTTAGGTTAGCTTTGGTTAGGTTTAGTTGGGTTTGGTTAGATTTGGTTAGGTTATGTTTGTTTGAGTTTGGTTATGTTTGTTTGAGTTTGGTTAAGTTTGGTTATGTTTGGCTGGGTTTGGTTTAGTTAAGTTAATATATGCCAGTACAAATTTGTTTCATCAGCATTATAAATTTGCTCAAGAGAGTGAGAATCATCCTGCACGATCTCAAATTTGGACACATTCCTCTTCACCTCTATCCACCACAGAGGAGACATGCCAGACTCATTGTCTTTTATATGCTGATTGCTTTGATAATAGATCATCACAAAATGTTTTCTCTTGACTTCACTGCTTGTTGAAGTTTTAAACAACATATTTCTTGTATTTCTTGATGCACTAGTAGCAGGATGCCAAAAATATGCACAGATATAAAATGGTGAAAGGAGAGGGGTTTGTCCACACTGGGTAAACAAAATCACGTGTCACGCCACCGGTAACTTGGTGGCCGCCCCTGGAACTACATAGGCTTCTCCTGAGTGGGGGGTACATCTTGTGCCTGGATCACAAATAAATAGATAGAATAAATGAATGATTGAGGTTCGATAGCAAGGTCGGGGAATGTACTAATTTCGTCAGTTTTGTACCTAGTGATCTTATGGCCCATTTTTCTTCAATCTTCTAGCTTTGGCATATTTAATGCCTCTAACCTCTTCTCATAGCTCTTACCTTTCAGTTATTGAAGCCATTTATAAATAATAATAATTCATTGTGTCGGAGGCACTTGTAGTCAGTTTATACTTACAGTATGTGTTAGGCTTATGTTGAGTGTTACCCCCTTGGTTGAATTACTGACCCTCCCTAGGATGCTACCTCACATCCAAGCTGACTAACTCCTGGGTACCTATTTACTGCTAGGGGGACAGAGGCATGAGGTGATAGGAATCGCACCCAACCATTTCTGTCCCGCCTGGGATTCGAACCCGGAATTCTCAATTGTGATGTGAGAATGAACCCGACTGTACTATTGGGGGCTTTTAGTTGTATGTCTTTGCACCTTTTTCAGTTTGTTGATGAACTTTATGTGGAGAGTCCCATTCGCTCCCTGAAGCTAGCTTATGGATCAAGTGCCATACTACTTGAGTGTCATCAGTTGCAGAGTTCTTTGTATGCCTACCGGGGACTATGAGCCAGATCCTGGCCCCCTCAGAGAGGTGCAGGGAGCGATGGCACATGAATACTTCACATTTAAAGTTACATTTGTGCCATCAACAGGGAAGCACCCAGATAGGTAGACGAATCAAAACAGACTACTGCTTCAAAATATTAAAAGAACTCCCCCATAAAGAAAACAAATAACCAAAACTGACCAACCAATCCCCTGCTCCTTAGCTCCCCCTTCCCCACCCAAAAGAGGAACCTGGGATGCCATCAGGCAGTTCTTGACTGATGTGTGCTAGTTATTGGTGTTGCTCTGGGGCCATGTTTCCATTTTCAAATTAAAAAAAAATTAAAAAAAATTCAAATGTTTATTTTACGTTATACAAAAATTGATAGATTTTTAGATAGAGCTAGTACATACAATGCCTAAAGCCACTATTACGCAAAGCGTTTCGGGCAGGAAAAACATTAAAGACTAAAACTTAATACTAATTGAGATTAAAGTATAAAATGTGTTGAAAACAAATAAAAAAAAGGGGGAACATGGCAGAAAAAACAGCACAAATACAATTAGGTCGACAAGCAGCGTTGTTTAAAAAAATAACAGACATGGATTGACAATAGAGGGGTAAGGTAGGTTACAGGGAATTTATTAGGTAGTGCTTAGTTTTTATCTTAAACTGGTTGAGAGAGGTACAGTCTTTAACATGATTGGAAAGGTCATTCCACATTCTGGGTTCCTTGATTTGTAGAGCATTTCTAGTTTGATTAACCTTTAAATAGCGCATGGCTATATACCATTTGACACCCACAGGCGCATACAAAAATGAAAAAAATATTTTTTCTTCCTAACCTGTTAATTTGTGTTCACTGATCATGGGAAAAATAATAAAAAAATTGTAAGTGGCATATTTTGCCCGCTATAGAGCGTGGAAGTCTGGCAAAAAACAGGCGCTGACTTAGCGTGCATCCCCAGGCGGTCTGTTGCTCGCCAGCTGTCAGGCCGG